TTTGTACATAGCTTGGTCTTCAGTTTTTAAAACTCAAGACCGAGAATGTTTCTTCCTTAGCTGAAGCCGCTCGGTGCAAAAATTAGCAACACAGTTCATCACCACACCACAACATTCATCTCATTTGTATGATCGAGTTTGGTTGCGAATTGGCACGCCCACATCAACAAAATGATGCAGTTGGTAGGAAAGGGATCCTGTCTGGATCCCTTCCACCAAATCCTCCCTATCAACTAATCTGGGCCCTTGAAATTTGATCCAACAGCTAAAAACAGTGGTCTACTTTAAAAGTTATAATAACTTTAGCCGTTTGACCAAATTTCAAAGGCATCGATTGATTGATGGGGAGGATTTGGTGGAAGGGATCCGAAGAGGATCCCTTTCCCGGTTAGCTCAATATTAGTTAGCCTGCGTGCCACATAAGTCTTGTAGTTCTTTCTTGGGTTTTCCCCTAACTTTTATATGAATCTCTATTTGATAAACAAAAAAAGAAGAAGATAAATTACTCACGTGTTTTGCACATGGTTCTATCTTATTAATGAGAAATTTTTTTTCAACTAATTGTTTATTATATTTAGAGTACCGAACTGTATTTTCATAATATTGAAAAATCTCTCCTTATTAACCAATTACATGCAATTGCCCATAATTTACCATACATATTAAATTGAAATAAAGAAATTTGCTTCTTTCGGGCCTAGACAAGGAAACTCTACTATCCTTTTTTGGTTCTTTCAAATGGAGGATGATTCTTTCTCATTCTGTTCTCTCTCGCCTTCTCCTTTTTTCTACATAAACAGTTACTATGTTAATATTTTATATTAATTTTTTTATAGAGACAATAAGATAAAAAACAAAATGTTTGAGGAGAGGAGGAAAGAGTTAAAGGTTTAAAAGCCAAAAGATCCCGAAGTAAGGTCATCTTCAATGGAGAGAGTTAAAAGTTCAAAAACCAAAAAATGACTTGATTTGTCCAAAAAATCATTTCCAACTGATGATTAGACTATAATTTTTATAAAGCCCATAAGACCATTATTTAGTCAAAAGGGAATCAGGTTAGTCAAATGTAGCCCCCTCTTAGCCTTTTTTGGCGATCAACTTTTCGATTCCAATAATTGATTCAAATTTAACGGTAAAATTTAAAAACATTCAACGATAGTTTAATTAAATTAACCAATAAATTTAAAACTAATAAATTATTGAGATGGTTAGGTTTAATTATTTGATTAGAAATGATACATGGTATAACATAAAACTGTTTATATAAAAATAATTTTTTATAACGTTATAATTTTAGACATAACTATGTTTAGCCTTTTCAAAGATGGCTTAAGAGCAGCTTCATCACGGAGGACAAACAAGACAACTCACCCGAGGCATACACTTCACTTCCCATCTCTGACCCTCCGACATCAATCATACCCTGTTTTCCCACTGTTCTCCATTTTTATAATAAAAACGAGCTCACCACACCCACGAATCACATCCCTCCACGTGACAGCCTAGGGTAGACGCCAAAGGCAATGAGGGTTGCCACATTTTGACTCCTCTTCACATAATTGCAAGCAACCAAGAAAAGTCTTATCCTACTCCAAACATTCGGTCTACGGTAGTAAGAGATGAAGTTTTTTATTATAGAATTCCTTCTATTTTTATATTTTTTTCATGCTCTATTGTTAAATTACGTCAATATTTTATATTTTTATTACTTTTTATTTTATTATTTTTATATAAAATTAATATAAAATATTAAGATGGCTTAACCGTGACCACACATCACATGAGGGCATTTGAAGAGAATGAAAATAGAAGGGCAGACAATTCACCTCCTTTTATTATGCACCGAGCATGATATGCACAGAGTGTTTAAGATCGTTTAATTATTTGAATTCATTGACTAAATAAAAAAAGGAAAATCTTGGCCCTATTGCTAATTTGCTATTGTGTATATCGAACTCAGATCCTCTTTGGATTATTTGAAATTGAGCCTAATGATCAAATGATCCAAATCGTTAAAGTTTGATTCAACGGTTACAAATAGAGACTTTTTTAAAAATTATAATAATTATAACCGTTTAATTAAATTTCAATGTTCTGAATCATTTGATCATTAGGCTCAGTTTTTTAAGATCCAGAGAAGATATGGGTTCATGTATATCATACATGCAAACATAATAAAATTTTGAATAATAATTGCATTCCTCGTTGGTGAATGCGCATATTTCATATTTTGTAAATACTGTATTTTTCATATAAATTCAAAATTAAAATCTTTCAATTTCTTAGTTTTTATTTGAAGATCATTCATATAAAAATATTATTAACAATGAAGATTATTTGGTTATCTAAATGTATAAAACAAATAGACAGTTCATTATGAATATGTTATTTGGTGTTTATATCATCGATTTCTATACATTTGAATGATTAAATAACTTCAATTCAAATGAGTTTTTTTTTTTTTTTGGGTAAGTATAGGTCTTCAAATAAAGATTAAGAATTTAAATAGTTCTTATTATGAAAATGTATGTTAATACTTTATTCAGTTAAATAGTTTTGGTTAAGAAATTTGTATGATAAATACATGTTATTAAAAAAAAAAATTTAAAAATATGTGCATTTTCCATAAACATGAAGTTCGCAAAAATTATACTGAAATTTAATTAAATGATATTTAATTTTGCGACAAGTTTGATACCTAATTAACAACCTTCGTTGTGATAACTGATAATCAGCTTTGTTGTGCAACTAGTGCATTACAGACATCCTATCGTATTTCCAACCCACCACCAGAAAAAAAAAAAAAAAAAAAAAAAAAAAAAAGTAAAAGTCTCGTGGTGTTTAGATAAATTTCAAGTCCTTTTCTTTGTGGGGCTTTGATAGCAGAAGTAGCGATCTGGGTTTTCTTCTTATTTGATTGGAGAGTTGGCGTACTTGAGTTGGGAGGGAACAGAGAAATGGCGAGTTATGGGGACGCGAGCCAGAAGATAGACTATGTGTTCAAGGTGGTGCTGATAGGGGACTCTGCGGTGGGCAAGTCTCAGATTCTGGCCAGGTTTGCCCGGAACGAGTTTAGCTTGGACTCCAAGGCCACCATCGGCGTCGAGTTCCAGACTCGGACCCTCCTCATCGAGCACAAGAGTGTCAAGGCCCAGATCTGGGACACTGCTGGACAAGAACGGTCTCTCTCTCTCTTCAGCAGTAGTGTACAACCCTTTTCTTTCAGTCTGCTACTTGGGTTTTTAGATTTGGATAGTTTGCAACAATTCCAGTAAACTGTCTGCTTTTTACTTTTTCCTGTTTTAGTAAAAGTTGTTGGTTGCTTTTTTTGTGAGCTGTATGCATAGATTGCATGTACATCCTTTTAAGTTATCTTTTTTACTTTCTGGGTTTGATTTCTTCAAGTAAATTTGTAATGTTGGTAAGTGAATTACTTCTTTGTATGCTACATATGAATAAGATAATCACCTGAGGCTTTTAGATCCGTGTTTGGAATCTCATAAGTGCACTTAGTATGTTGTGATATTGATATTGATATGGATATTCACTCAAACGATTAGAAATGTTAAATGCCAGGAATGAAATTCGTTAACATTATCGGTTTCTTATTGTGATCCTTGTGTTCTTAATTGTATAAACTTGCCACCAGTAATATGGTTTTCGGTTACAAAGATATGAAATCGTGTTTAATTCGTCATCTACTTTTGGTCCATAGTTTCTTTTGGCCATTTTGGCCATTTTGGCTTTTCTTGCAATCTTGGATATTGCCATGGATGATATAGTGGGAGAAGAATTGTCACCTTTTGTTAAGCGGTGTGAATAATTGCTTTCTTTGATTCCCTATATTTGAGAACCATGACATGTATGACTTGTCCAAGCTTGTGTTTCTTGCCTGTTATCTCCGATTTGGTCTAATGGTTAGTTTCTTTATAAAGAAGATAAGACTTTGGAGTTTATTAACTGATGGGAATGAATGCTGCTCGGGTGACGATTGTTCACTACGATGATGCCACAGTTTTGGACAAATTTACTCCGATTATATTTGGTTATTAACTAAACTGGTCACCTGTATCTAGTATAAGATGATATGTGCTGCTCGTTATATTTGGTTAATTCCAGATTTGGCCTAAAGGTTAAGTGTATTCACATCTGATGATTGTCCTTCTCTTATGCTGTTTTGCTCAGATATAGAGCTGTTACAAGTGCGTACTACAGGGGTGCTGTTGGGGCAATGCTGGTATATGATATAACCAAACGCCAGACCTTTGACCACATACCACGCTGGCTGGAAGAACTGCGTAGCCATGCCGACAAGAACATAGTCATCATTCTGATAGGCAACAAAAGTGATCTTGAGAACCAGCGTGCAGTCCCCACTGAAGATGCCAAAGAATTTGCCCAAAAAGAAGGCCTTTTCTTCTTGGAGACCTCAGCACTGGAAGCAACAAATGTGGAGAACGCTTTCTCGACTGTGTTGACAGAGATATTCAACATTGTTAACAAGAAAAGCCTTGCTGCCAACGAAAATCAAGCTAATGGAAGCCCTCCATCTTTGACTGGTAAGAAGATCCTTGTCCCAGGCCCTGCACAAGTAATCCCGGCTAAGAGCAAGGTGTGCTGTACATCGTGATTCAACAGGGCCGCGAATTTATAAACATCGGATGCTTTCTTCGACATTCATAATACTAGCAAATTTTGAGGGGTGTGATATATTTCCTTTGTATATTTTTCTCGTTTCTTTGCTTTAGTTTGCATCAGCTGATTAATTGCATGTTTTCAAAATTGACATGAAGAACTAGACGAGCCTGATTTGGGTATGCCCGTTGTTGAACTTCTCTTAAATATGTAATTTCACATTCTCCCTACTCATGTTAATCGTCGAAAAAAAGCTAAAATTACTCAAACACTCGTCCCCCGAATCTACAATTTAGGGTTAAATTCTCACACATTAAATGTCGCAGCATTGTTTTGTATTTCCAAATCGTAAAATGGTTTGTAGCTTACGTGGTTAAGAGCATTTATGATTACAAACTTGGCGATCAAAGCCACTGCCTATTAGTAACAATATACTAGACCACAAATACAAAGATATATTCGATGTTAAAAAAAAATGAAATTCCAATTTTGTAGGAGGCAGTAAAGAATCAATATGAATTCCTGCCATAAATTACAACACCTGTGTTAATTTATCTAATTAGAGTACAACAATGCAAGTTTGGAATTCTGGAAGTTTATCGCTTAACCCTCTGATGCAAGTGTGATACTTTCCTTGTCAACGTTCTTTTCAACATCCTTTACGTCCTGTACCTCATCCCTGTTGACATTAGAAGCCTTGTCTTTCTTCTCCGAAGGCTCCTTCTCAGTTTCCATGCGCGCCAAAAGCCTTTCTTGCAGTTCTTGGCAGTCAATTGCAGTGATCATCACAGACAAACTGGACCTACCTTTCCAGCATCCAATGGCTATTGTTGACTTGTCTACTTCAATAGGACCCGATGTGGCTTTGCCATCTGCAGATATAAAGTCTACGTAGGTAAACAGAACATATATACAATGAATGTGCACTTATGGTCCTTAACAAATGATGCTATATTACCTTTACTCAAAACTATCACACAGCATCCTGACATTATGCTTGATGCCTTCCGACTGAACTCAGAATCAACAAAATCAGCAAACTTGATAGATTTATACTCAAGAAGATGTTTAAAGTCGACGAGGGATGCACATAGAATCTGTTTGGTTATGTACGGAAGAATAAGTGGCAATCCTTCTGATGATATCCGGAATAAACAAGGCGCCAAATTTCCTTCTCTTGCAGTTTGTCGTTCCTGTTGAGAGCAAAAATAAATTAGAGAAAGATTGTTACGGAATATTTAATGCTAAACACCAGAATGTAGAAATACTTTGTTCATCAGTCCAGGGCTTCACCAGAATCTCTAGCTTCAAACATGAGAACCCTAGGATGAAAATATATATACTACACACTTGGAATCCATGACTGAGCGTAATAAGGTTTAATATTTCTACACCCAATCAGTAGGTACTGGCACTACTTGTCTCGCTCATTGTCTTAATTATACACACACTTCGGCTATCGGATTTATCTGAAGGCATAATAATTTTGCAGAACCTTCTTTGATCACATATCTAGAAATTCGAATCGTATAATGGCCTTATTTAAAAGAAAAAAGAAAAATTCATATTTGAAAATACTTACAAACATCTTAAGCCCAATGGATGTTATCTTAAGTTGCTGTCCAACGGAGAAATTCAGCTCAAGAACATCTTTGACTGACTTTGAGATGTAGTAAATTCTTTTCACATGATTAGCATCGGTGTTTCTTGTGACAAGGTGGTCATTGAAGGGAAACGATTCATTAATGCCATAGAATGTCTTTATGCTATTAATGGTAGCTTCATCTTTAAAGAAAACAACAGGGTCCACTCCTCTCCACTTGCCTTGACACTGCTTCTTTCTCTTTCCTCCAGCTTTCTTGGGATCTGTTTCCTCATCAACAGGCTCCTGGGCTTCCTCCGATACATTTTCTTCAAGCGTGACAGAAGGATCAAGCTCCAAAGACGCCCCATCTAGTTCTTCCTTTATTAACTCTACCTCTGAAGCTGCTTCTAAAAAAGTCTCATCTGTACCATCTTCCAAACTAGCCACCATCCCATTTGTACCTTCAGTACCCTGATTTTGTAATTCTACCTGCGGCTCGTCATTTCTAGAGCCCAAGTCCTCTTTCAGACTATTAGGTTTCCCCTGATTGGCTGTTCAATGAAAGAAGAAAAGAATCAACGAAAGGAGAAAAGAAACTAAATTAAAAATAAACAATATAAGGAGATTGTGATTCTCTATCAGGAAACCCAAACCTAGAGCACATGTTCAAATCCTAAACAAACTACAGGCCATACATATTGACACAACGATACAATTATGTGTGACACGCCATTTTATTTTAAATTCTTTTTAAGGCGCTCCCTTTCTCCAAAAATATCTTTGAAATGGATAATTAGGTGAAAATAGCATTTACTAAATGAGATAATAGAATAATGGGGTCATTTGTTTTAGGTCATAAAATTTATTCAGTCTGCTAAGCGTCATTTGTTTTAGGTCATAAAATATATTCAGCATTAGCAGACTTTTTTTCTAAATAGGAGGGAAACAACCCTTCATACCCAAATAAGAAGACAATAATACAGTAAAAGCTACCTCAGAGCACTTCAACTCTTTGCAGATACTTAAACTCACCTGGCAAAGCAGAATGTTTGTGGAAGACAGCAACTGAAGAAAGCTCCTCCATTTTGATCATGGGGGACTATCCTCATGCAGCGTTCTAGTGGAAAATCAGAAACTTCCTCCTCTTGTTCGTTGGGTACAGTTAGCAGGATCATCAGTTGACTGCAATGCATCTTCAACATTTCCATTGCCACCATTCTCATGTTTTTCTTCCACTTCCATATTATCATTACCGTCCGTTGGTTCTGTAAAGCTTCTTCCAGAAGGAAACATGCTGGGAACAATGACATTTTTCCGATATTTGCTGACATTTTTGTGGGAAGGTAACCACCTACCCTTGTCATGTATCTGCATTGTCAAATGAATGAATACGGATTTTGTCGCAAGAAAAAATTTTAAAGCTGCAACTTGCATGCAACACAGTAGGTGATGTTTGAACAAACTGTTGCAATTGAGACCACTATGCTATAAGATGTGTGTGTGTGTGTTGAATTTGAATTTGATGGGTGGGTGGGTGTGGGTGTTTGAATTTGATGCATTGCAGACAAAAATATTATAATGTTGACCCAACTTATACATAATCACGAAGCAGAGTTGAATAAAATGGTTTCACCTAACATTCATGGCGCAATATAATGCATTGATTGCAAAAGGATTTCTTAAACCCTGAATCTTATATCAAGAGAAGAATGGAAATTTGTGATATCTTCTTGACAGGTAACTCCGGATTATTTATGGCAAATATACCTTATTACAGTTTTATATTATAGTAGTGAATATGTGACACAAACAATGTTTCAATCAGACCATTTTCACAGCACCAGGATAAAATAGCACTACAAGTGATATCAGCAACATCCCATTCAGTAATTGAGAAACAAACCTATGTTACACAAACTAAGGAAACATTCTTATTCAATAATATGTTGTGCACATCAAGCTTTCACTATACAGCACTACCATGAAAAAGGTAAACAAACAACTAACCTTCCATTTTTTAAGACCTGGCCTCCGAACAAGATGCGGAAGCTCACTAGAGACATCAATAAGCTCAACAGACCCACCACCTCTCCGCAAAATCTGCAAAATAAAAAGGAACACTTTCTGAAAATACAGAATGACGTAATCTACCACTCATAGCAAGGTCATCCAAATAAAGAATGAATAAGCACAACAAAAAATCATGAAACTCTGCCACTCATAGCAAGGTCAAAAGCATCAAATTGAAAGAAAATGTTTTCTGATGTACTTTCATAACACAAACAATATTCAAATTAAAAGCTAAAACATCAATGACCAAATAAACAAAATCCATAAAATCAATAATCGTATGAAGGTGAAGAGCTCCAATCCACTAATCAATTTGCAAGAACTGAAAAAGTCAAAAGAACTAAAAGAAACAATACTTGTATGGTTGGCATTCCATGACTACCTACTATGCCTACAAGCTCTCTTCAATTGTATGAATAAACCATGCTGTTGTCACTTACAAAATAAAATCTTTCAACCCATCAAGTTCTAAGTTAAATATTTTGTAAGAAGATAAGCAAACATATTACCTCAGCAACCACAGCTTCATTTTCAACTGGATTCATGGAGCAGGTAGAGTACACCATTCTTCCGCCAACTTTAAGCAGTGATAAACCTAGGATAAACAATATAACATATGAGAATAAACTAGTAAGTAAAGCATAGAGCCATTGTTAATAATAAAAAAAATCTGAGAAATTTCTTTTCATGATAGATACCTTGCATAGCTATGTGAATTTGTAGAGGATGAACCCCATTGCCCAGTCCAGCATGCCTGTACATAAGCAAAACGAATCTCATCAACCTGCCAAAAGTAAAATAGCGACTGAAAAATTAAAGTTATACCATTTCCTCCAGATATCAGGAGCCTTGCGAAGGGTACCGTCTCCACTGCAAGGGACATCACATAAAACACGATCAAAGACAAGTTGGCTGATAGGTGGCTCCATTTCAGCTCCTATTTCAGAAGCACTAGACTTTGCCCGGCAACCAGGAAAGTGTTGAGCTTCATGATTTGTGACTATCAAGTTGGCTGTGCACATTCTTTTTGTTTGATGGATGAGTAGATTACATCTTTGGACATCAAGATCATTTGCTACAACCTAATTAATGGGCCAATAAAACAAGGAACCAGTATCATAAATGGTAGTTAAATGAGGGAAAATCTATGTCACATGAAGGCAAAATAGTAACTAGGAGAATCAAATAAGAATTGAAAGGCAAGATAACAGCCTAAACTTGAGTCCTTGACTGAGGAAAAGACAGAACTGATGAACTAAATCAGATATAAGGAATGTGAAACAATATATAATTAAAAGGAACCATACCAATCCATCAGGTAGAGATCCTGGTTTCATTGATCGGTGTATTACCTCAAGCAATTGGAATGTTTTTGAACCTGGTGCAGCGCACACTGAGAAAAATTGTAGCTGACGGTCAGTAAGCACTAGATTTAGTCTTTAAAGCAAAACCTGTTGCCTTATAAAAATTGAAAACTATACCACAGAACAGAGAGTTCCCAACAAAAGAAGTCCCTCAAGGAATTATGCATCTCCAATCCAAACTACAATTTCATCAACACTCACAACGCCAATAAGAAGCTTGAAAATTCAATATAGAATAGAACACAACCGATTAGATTTTCACGTGATGCTCGTGATTCAAGTCTCATCATTTGGGTCAACTATGTTTCTAAATTTTCAGTTTTAGAAAGGGGAAAGATAAATGCAATATAAGTTGCTTACTATCGAGTACAAAATGATCTGGGCGTACATCAAGGAATAGTGGAGGTACCTGTATCATTAAAAATAAAATAGAGTAACTGAATACTTGAGCATTAGTATAAGGTGAACTACTTAGTGCTGAAACACCCAAGATTTATAATTGAATATTGCAGCACAATTCAGTATTTAAACCACAAGGGCACAAACTGCAAGTAACATAGGCCTACCATGCTGACAGCCTCCTGTCTTGTGATGTTTCCGATCTCATTTTCAAGCTTTAAGAACTCATGAAACCTTAGATATTTGTAACATCAGAACCATGAATACACAGATAATAATATTAGAACGGGGGATAGATTGAAACTAAACAGAGTGACTTGATACCATTATGCAGAATTTGGTTAAGCTCTATATAAACAAGAAATTGAAGAAGATTCAATTTGGAACAATCACAATAGTTAAGGTGGATACATATTATATATTAGTATTATTCATATAGGTAGGAACCCTGTTGGAGTACATCAATTCATTTACCTCTCAAGTGTTTGGTTCTTCCTCAGTTGCATGCGAGAAAAATTTGAATGCCAAGCTAGATTCTCGGGGTACCAAGGTAATGGCCTAATAGGCTGTGGTTCACCCCCTTCACTTATCTGGAAACACATTACAATTTACAATAAAAACGAAATAAGGCAACACAGTTTTTCACTACATTTTGTTAGTAAATTAGCCTACAAGAAACCAACCTCAGATTGCAAAGAGATCATAAAGTTATTCTCCAACTGCCTTCGGATATCCGAACAAAATTGGCTACTGCAATATCCACAGAAGTTCAATTGAGAATTGAGATTAACATTGAATGAAACCGCACACGAAAACACAAAGAGAAACAACATAGCAAATACATTATTTCAATCACCTTGAATTGATTCTAAAAGCAGCAGGCAACGGCCTTCGAAGAACTTCATTGAATGCATCCCACTCTTCTGGGTTCACTATCCCTTGCTCCTACCACCATAACACATTCCACGGCTCAATAAACGAAGAAAAGAAACTAACTTTTACTCCAAAAACATACATGCATAGATATAAACATATATATGTATATATAGAATATGACATCACCTTGTAATATTCATCGAATGCGAGGTTTTGAGTGGCAAACGGCTCCCAACCACGATTTTCTGCGTTGTTTTCATTGTTGTTTTCAGACGAAGGATCAGACTTGGAACGCTTCCAAACGTTCTCTCGGTTCTGACGGAAGTGGCGTCGCTGAGTGCGAGAACCTCCTCTGCCTCTGCCGCCGCCGCCTCCCATCTCTGTATGTAGCTTAACTGTTCGATGTTTGATCTCAGAAAAGAGCTTCGCTGTTCCACTCACTGTGCAGAGTGCGGCGGGTTTTGGGGGACCATAACCGGATTCTTGGCCTGTGGGATATCATGGTTTGGGCTTTGGAGTGTGTACGGTTTCACTTGGCCCATGAACGTAATAAGTCTCTTTCCTTTTATGTCAAACGATAGATTTGTTAGATTAAATGTTAGATTATAAAGTCGACAAAGTTTGAAACCATGTCATAGTGTAACGGCAACACTCTTTCTTGAGGGATCATTTTATTCATTGTCTTATTGTGATGTCTGGTAGTCTAGACATTAGACATCATGTTATTGGATAGTACTTGAGGATGATCGATGTAAAAACACTTAGGGGTGGATTTTTTTGCCAAATTGTCGTGCCATACAGATTTTGTGCCAATCGGTAATGATAATGTATTGTACCGGACCAAAATTTCATGATACGGTATTGGTAATGGATATCAGTACTACGGTATTACCGTACCATACCAAAAATATAATAAAATATAATATATAATTTATAAATTATATAATATATAATTATATAACACATATTTATAATATATATATATATATATATATAATATTCCAATAATTCGAAACTAAAACCCTACTTATATTATCATTGTTGTTGGTGACTTTGATCTCTTGAGTTGGTGGAAATCAAATACAAAAGAGTTCATAATTCTTTCATAAATAGCCAATGATATTTTTGCAATCCCTACTTCTACCGTGCTAGTAGAAATGCATTTAGCCTAGGGAGGAGAGTATGGACCCTTGGCGCATCATACTCCTAAAATGGTAGAAGCACTAGTGTGTACTAGTGATTGACTTAGGGCGGATAAAGTAAACTTTTACAAGGAACCAACGGAAGATATGCTTCAATTTTACAAGGAAATGAAAGAAGTGGAAACAAGTAAGATATGCTTTAATTTTTAATTTTTTTTAGTAAATTTGTTATTAAATGGTTTTCAACTTTAATTCTTCTTGCTACTAATATGTTTTCTTTGGTTGTAATGTAGGCTTGACACAAGTTCAATGCCTCCTCCAAAAACTTCAACATCTCAAACTTGAAGAATTGATCAATGAATTTTACTTTTTGAAGTTTAGTTCCAATTTTCATTTGGTTTGAAACTTTAACTTCTATTTGGATTGTTCGCTTCTATTTCTTTTGGTTCGTAACTTCTATTTGGATTTTAAACTTAATTTTCATATGCATCATTTGAATTATTTTGTGTGTGTAAATTGTAAATGATAAATAATAGATGAATTTAGGCTACAATGTACGAGATTAAGGTTCAAAAAAAAAAAAAAAAAGTTTTGCCCTTGAATTGGGTTAAAAAAATAAAAATAGATTTTGTCCCAAAACAAACTGGCAATTACCATTGTCATATCATGCCAACCGAACTATTTGGCAATACCAAACTTTGATATACCGAAAGTTTGGTACAATAATGGTAATAGATTTTGTCAAACCAAAAGTTTTGTATGATAATTGGTATATAATTTTGGTACAATAACTGTACCAAACTCACCCCTATAAACACTCATTAAGGCCCACTTGCTAATTGTGCATATATTTGTATCCATCCACACCACCCCACTTGCACACCTTTTATTTCTTTTTTTTAATTTATTTTTTATTTCTAATATCATTGATAATATTACTCTAAGAACTCGTTTGTTATGTATGATTGGATTGGAAATAAATAATTCATTAATTTCAAAATATTTAAGGTGAGAAATTAAAAAATTATGACGAGGTACAAAATAGAAGATGGATTACTCAAGAACTTATCAATTTCAATCCTCTTTAAAATGATAAGATTAGAAAGGGTGACCCTCAAGACAATGTTGGTATTTGGTGGTACCTTGGGGATGGCCTTGAACAGATTTTTGTGCAAGATTTCAAATTGCGATTTACTGCTAGTGCTAGACTTAGGGTTAAGGATATTACGAATTTTGTACATGTTGTTAACCTGTGTATCTCTGTTTCTCAAAATGAAAGCTTAATAAAAGATGTTACTAACGAGAAAATTTGGAATGCTATTAAAAATATTGGCCCTCTTAAAGCTTCGGGTCTTGATGGCATTCAAGCAATCTTCTACCATAATCGTGGGGATATTGTCGATGACTCTATTTGCAACCTTGTTAAGGACTTCTTTAACAACAACTTTTCTCTCAGGTTAATAAATCACACTAACATTTCCTTAATTCCAAAAGTTGACAACCCTGAGCTGGTTAGCCAATTCTGTCCTATAAGTCATTGCAATGTAACCTATAAGATCATCACCAAGGTTTTGGTCAATCGTTTAAAACCAATTCTCGCTAACTGTATTTCCAAAAACCAAGGAGTCTTTGCTGCTGGTAGATCTATCCATGATAACATTCTCATTGCTAGCTTTTATTTTCTTTTAAGAACAAAAAAGGCAAAATTAGTGCTATGGCAGTTTAACTTGATCTTGGAAAATCCTTTGATTTCACTAGTTGGGACTACATTAAAATTGTTCCCCATAGATTTGGCTTTAACAATCATTGGATAAATTTGATTCTTGAATGCATCTCTTCCTCGTCTTTTTCCATCCTCATCAATGGCAGAACTCATGAATATTTCCACCCTTCTAGAGGCATTAAGTAGGGAGGGAGACCCTCTCTCCCCCTACCTTTTTATTCTCTGTACGGAACCTTTAATTAGACACCTAAATAAATTAGGTAACTAATGTATGTGTGCTTACCTCTGCTAAAGGCTTTAAAGTCTCTAATCTTATGTTTGTTGATGATTGTTTTATCTTTGTAAATGAATTTGCAAATGTCTCAGGTCAGAAAATCAATTTTCATAAGTCCTCTCTTTATTTCTAAAATAACACCCTAATCAAATTAGAAATGATATTGTTAATATCCTCCAAATTCAATACAAAACTACAATTGGCAAATATTTGGGTATCCATAATATCATTTGCTGGAAAGACCCCATCAATACTAAAGATCTAATTCTTAAAGTCAAGAACAAACTTGCTGGTTGGAAAGCTAATACCCTCTTTAAAACTGGTGGACTCACCCTTATTAAGGCTAACATTGCTGGTCTTCCAAATCATGTGATGTCCTATTTTAAATGTCCTGAAAATGTTATTAAAACCTTTAAGAAAGATGGTAGATCCTTCTTTTGGGGCAAAGAGAGCAAGGTGAACCCAGTTGCTTGGGACAAAGTTTGCCTTCCCAACCATTTGGGGGGCCTTGGCACAAGAAAAAGTAATCACTTCAACAATGCTTAGCTTGCTAAACTTGGCTAGAATATACTAACCGAGGAAGACAATTGGTGGGTCTAAATTGTTGAAACAAAATACTTAAGGTATGACTCATTCCTTAACTGCAAAACTAGGCAAAACCACTCCTAAGCCTGGAAAGGAATCCTTAATGTCAGGCACATTATTGAGCAAGGAAGTAGGTAGTTAGTGGGAAATGGAAAGAGTATCTTCTTCTAGACATACAATTGGATTTTTCCTTTCCTTCTCATTAACCTTCTACCTAATGACCAAATCCCTGGTTTAGAATTAAGTGTTACAGTTAACAACTTCATCAATAACAATACCTAGGATAAGAACGCCCTCCCTAGTCTGTTGGACAATGACACTATCAACAAAATTTAGCATTCGTCTATCTATTTCCTAGCAGGATGACTCTTTGTTCTGGGGTCTCAATGCTAACAACAAATTTACAGTCAAATCCGCAACCTGGATCTAAGATAAGAGATACTCTCAAGGTCTTGCTTTGATCTTCTCAAAAGAATATGGAGTCTCAAAATCCCCAATAAAATCAAGTTGTTTAGTTGGCTACTAATCCTAGGAAGATTACAAACTAGAGATTGACTTTCTATGTACATCTAATCTCTTCCCTCCCAATGCCTCATTTGTAATGAAGACACTAAGAGTATTAATCACCTTTTTATGGATTGCAATGTCTCTAAGCAAATTTGGACTAACATTAATTTCTTAAACTTATCTTGGACTCTTAAATGCCTTCCACTGCTTGAATGGCTGAATTCGTTGGATTCAAAGGAAGATAATAAAGTCTCTTCCCTAAGCATGGCCCTTCTCATTTGCTAGCATATATGGAAGGAGAGAAAAAATGCTGCTTTTCAAAATGTACAATCAACCCTAGGAAAATCATTCTCTCTGCTACTACTAAACTTGGTGAAGATTACTTTAATGCAAATAAAGCTAACATAAAAGTCTGTATGGAAAATTTGACCATCAAATGGTTTCTTCCCCCATGTGGAAGCCTTAAAATCAACTTTGATGGCTCTGTTATAAATGACCACGCTGCTACTGGCTTTGTTATAAGAAATGATTTTGGCAGGCCTATCCTTGCTGGTGCTAGGAGCTTAGGGGATGAATACTATCAATGTGGCGGAATGTGTTGATTTACGAGATGCACTTTGGATGGCTAAATCTCGTGGGTTCAGAAGTATCGAGATTGAGGGGGACTCCAAACTTGTGATTGACTTCATTCTTGGGCATTCTTCTACTCCTTGGAGACTACATTTCATCATACAAGACATCAGGCAATTAGCTAGCTGGTTTAAGAATATCTATTGGAACCATATCATTAGGAAGGCCAACTTCGTGGCGAATACAATCACGGACGTGGATTTTAGTTATTGTAATATTCATGTTTGAGATGGTTCTACCTCTAGCTCTGCTCATAGGGCTCTCTTATTTGATCTTATGATTGGGTTATACTCGTGAACATTCCCTTTAATCTTATTGCTTTTTTATCCAAAAAAATAAAAATTAAAAAATGTGACCCCTTATGTCCCTTTTTATTTTTAATTTGTGTAGAAGGCTTCTTATCTCTTATACGAAAGGAGGGTCGGTTGTGCTCCTCTAGTGTCCCATGTTTTGTTTGCTGATGACTCCGTAGTGTTTTGTCGGGCGCTAGATTTCGAGGTGGTGTGTATCAATTCTCTCCTACAACGCTATGCAAAAGGTTCAAGCCAATTAA